GTTAGAAATGCCTTATGCCAATACGCTAATTTTGCTCTTTTTAAAAATTTTACTCTTTTTTCTTGGGACATTTTTGTCTGGATGATTCTTCCTGCTTCTTCAGATGTCTCATGTGTCCAATGGACTTCAGATTCCTTTGTTGGATGCTTTTATTCTCTTGAAAAGACAAAAACAAAACCCTTCCCCAATCTTAATTTCAAGGAGTTCCTTTTTTGTCAGGTTATACTTTTGTTAAGACAAAGTATTTTTTGGCAACAGAAAAAGTGTTATCTTTTCATAATAAAATTATTTTATTTATTATCATTACTATTATTATTAATTACTTTCTTACTTGATCAAATGAAGGATTTTGTTAATCTTAGAAGTTAGTTTGAGTTGAATGAAACCTGTTTGATAAACTATTGCCTCTCTTAATCAAGAGGTGTCCCCTGTTTGAATTTAATCTTTGTCAGTTTTGATGGTTAACAATTGTTTCACAAGGTTGAGTCAGGGGAAGAAAGAAGATAACAAGAATGGAGATACCATAATAGAGGGAGACATTTTAGGTTTACAGAGAAATCAGGCACTAGGGAAATGTCTGGAGATCTACAAAGATGACACCAGCTAACAATCTAAGCAACAGAGGAGAGGCTACCTTAAATGCCCTCCCCTGATAATGAGATTGATGACTGACTTATATGCCACCCGATAGCCCTCATCCAGCAGCTGGTGGAAGTAGAAGCAGACACCCACAACTAATCACCGAACTGAACTGGAACCCAGACGCAGAGAAGGACAAGTGAAGAGCACAGGGCTCCAGACCAGGCTGGTGAAACCCACAGAAACAGCTGACCTGAACATTGGGGAACTCTTGCTCCCCAGACTAATAGCTGGATACCAGCATGGGACTGATCCAGACCCCAGGAACATGGGTTTCAGTGAGGAAACCTCGGAAATCTATGGGACCTCCTGTAGTTATTCAATACTTATCCCTAGCACAGGTGTGGACTTTGGGAGCACATTCCACATAGAGGAATACTCCCTGAGCCAAGACACACGGGGGTGGGCCTACACCCTATTCTAAAGAATACAATAGACTCTGATGACAACCTATGGAAGGCCTCACCATCCAGGGGAAGCAGAAAGGATATGTGATAGGTAGGATTTTAGTTGGGAGTGTGGTAGGGGAGGATGGGAGGGAGAAGGGAACTGGGATTGTCATGTCAAACAATCTTGTTTCTAATTCAAATAAAAAAATCTGAAAAAAAAACATTTGTTTCACAAAGGTTAATGCATATCATATGAAATGATTGCTTCCCTAAATCTCTTCAAATATAACATTTCTACAAGATCACAATCAAGTTCTGCATTGCCTTGGGGGTACCTATCATCTGGTGGTCATTCTTGTATGGTAACTGGATCAAGGTTGACTTCTAATAATTTTAGGCTGCTCCTTTTTTCATTTTCATAATGCAATAGTTCTGCTCTAAATTCCTGTGTCTGAGATTTTTCTTATTTCTAAAACTTATCTCTTATGAATAGTAAGTCCTTCTAAGACTTGTATCCAATCAGCAAAATTTTTCTTATTTTCATTAGTAAGTCTTTCTAATGCTTGTGTCTTAATCAGTAGTAGGTATTTCTCAAGCTTGTATGTTATCAATAGTAAGTCTTTCTAAGGCTTGTATCTTATCAGTCAAATTATCATGTTTGGCACAGTTATCAAACCATTTTTTTAAAAAAGATAAGGTATTAATTACCAAGCTGATGATAGTAATTATAATCAACATTAGGTCAATTCCATTTAAGTCATTTATCTATTCATTTAAATTTTCCATTTTCAAACAATCCATAGTATCACTATGCAGGGTACTACCACCCTGCATCATGATATTCTCCATTCTTAATGTGGGAAATATTTTTCTTTTCTAAATTATTTAACTCTTCCTTAAAGGACTTGCCAGGTATCTCACCAAATCTGCTGACTTTTCACTGTTTGTCCATGGTGTTGGTGGGGAACTCAAGCCCCTCCCACAATTTCCAAGCGCAAGCCTGCTTTCCAGAGCCTAGGCAAATGGCAGCTGGCTGTTGTGAGTGCTCATGCAGACAGCAGGACAGCAACTGCAGCAGAGCCAGACTGGTGTGACTTCTCTCATGCCACTTGTTGGAGCACCAAATGTTTTAACTTTGGCACAGTGTCCATGCCTTAATATACTGTTATTTCATCCAATAATTGTAACCCAGAAATTGCTGACCTGATTCTCTAGCAGCATCCCAGGGTGGCAGCCTGGCAGGAATTCTGTTCCTTCAGGCACTGGCTCTCTTACTGCCACTAAAGGTAGCTATAACCAAATCTCTATCATTCTATTTATAAATAAGACTCAAGGTCAAGGTTGGGTTGAAAACCTGCTAGCTCATTATGTGTAACAGCCAGAACCTAGAAGCATCCTAGATGCCCCTCAACTGAAGAATGGATAGAGAAAATGTGGTACATTTACACAATGGAGTACTACTCAGTGGAAAAAAACTAATGGAATATGGAAATTCGCAGGCAAATGGATGGAACTAGAAGAAACCATTTTGAGAGAGGTAACCCAGTCACAAAAAGACAAACATGATATGTACTCACTCATATATGGATTTTAGACATAGAGCAAAGGATTACCAGCCTACAATCCACACTGCCAGAGAAGCTAGTAAACAAGGAGAACCTTAAGAGAGACATACATGTTCCCCCGGAGAAGGGGAAAGGGACAAGATCTCCTGAGCAAATTGGGAGCATGGGGGGAGCAGAAAGGGAGCTGGGAGAATGAGAAGGGGAGAAGAGGAGGGGTGAGGAGGACATGAGGGAGCAGGAAGGTTGAGTCGGGGGACGAATAGAAGAGAGCAAGAAAAGAGATACCATAATAGAGGGAGACATTTTAGGTTTACAGAGAAATCAGGCACTAGGGAAATGTCTGGAGATCTACAAAGATGACACCAGCTAACAATCTAAGCAACAGGAGAGGCTACCTTAAATGCCCTCCCCTGATAAAGAGATGGATGACTGAGTTATATGCCATCCTATGGCCTTCATCCAGCAGCTGGTGGAAGAAGAAGCAGACACCCACAGCTAAACACTGAACTAAACTGGAATCTAGTTGTAGAGAAGGAGGTGTGAAGAGTAAAGGGGTCAAGACCAGGCTGGTGAAACACACAGAAACAGCTGACCTGAACATCGGGGAACTCTTGCTCCCCAGACTGATAGCTGGGAAACCAGCATGGGACTGATCCAGACCCCATGAACGTGGGTGTCAGTGAGGAGGCCTTGGAAATCTATGGGGTCTCTTGTAGTAGATCAGTACTTATCCCTAGCATGGGAATGGACTTTGGAAGCCCATTCCACATAGAGGGATAATCCCTGAGCCTAGACACATGGGGGTGGGCCTAGACCCTATCCCAAAGGATATGACAGACTCTGAAGACCCCCTATGGAAGGCCTCACCCTCCCTGGGGAGCAGAAAGGGTATGTGATAGGTAGAGT